TATGGGAACTGAAACAGCAGCTTGACCAGGTACCAGTATTCGGCTTCAATTCTGGTCGATATAATATTAACTTGATTAAAAAAAGATTTGTTTGCCGTAATTGGTACCGACAGCGTCAAATCTGTCATCAAGAACCCCAGCTACATGTGCATTGCTACATCGGACATGAAAATGCTTGATATCACTAACTATGTACCAGCTGGTACCAGCTACGACAAGTATCTTACAACATATCTCGGTGGCTGCAAATGCGATGACAAAATTAGATGTGTCTGTGGTCTTGGTAAGGGTCTTTTCCCTTACGAGTACATCACCGCGTTCAATGTTCGTTCTAAAACAAAACTACTCTCCCCACCCTAAGTCAGCTCTTGAAAATTAAGGCTCCGCTGCAAAGGAGCATCACGAGCGATGACTACGAACGAGTGAAGTTCGTGTGGATTACTACGAGATGAAATCGATCAAAGACTACTGATCTGGTACAATAATCTCGACGTAGTCCCTTTCACCAAAGCTATCAAGGCTCAGCGAGAGCTATTTAAGCGCTTCAATCTGGATATGTTTGCGGATGGAGTGTCCCTACCTGGTCTTTCAGAGAAGGTCATGTATCAGACCTGCTTCAATAATCTCCAATATCCGGATAAGAAACCTGCTAACGCATTCCGATTTCCAGCGAAGCGCATGGCTGGCTACAAGAGTCAGGATGCTAAGGCAAAACGAAAATTTGGTATGACGCTCGAGCACGTGATACATTGCTGCAAAAGCAAAAGTATCTGTGTGGTCTATGCTATTGTCAGCCGACCGCTGATACCGCTTCCGCGATGGAATCCATAAAAATTTTGGGCCCCCCGGGTGGGAATTTTTTGGTTTCAGGGGGGCTTTCCCCGGGACAACCCCCCCCGAAAAAAAAAATATTTTTGTTTTGTAGGGGGTTCAGATACAAGAAACGGCTTGATTTTAACGCAGACAGATTGGTGTTTTCGATTGACAAGGAGGAATCTGAGATTTACGGGAAAATGAAAGCTAACATTGCTGGTGGACCATCAATCATATTCAACAGGTATGCTAAGCGAAACGAGACGAAGATTCGTGGAGGTAAGATCTGCAAGAAAATTATCGGATACGACGCTAACGCTCTTTACCTATGGGCCCTTGGTAATGAGATGCCATGCGGTCGATTGACTACGGTTGAAGCGTATGATGGTATCATCGATGACATCAAAGCATACAAGTATTCGGCTTTCTTGAATGTGATATCCGAACACCAGATACTTAAACATACTTGGTGAGATGACTCCATTTCAGATGTATGATGACGTAGATGAAGGTCATGGTAGACACTGTGGAAACACAAGGAGGGCGCCCCAGACAAAAGCCGAGCCAAAATCGAATCCGCAGAGTGATGTGTTGAACTCACTGTGGGGAAAAAAGTTTTCTCTTTTTGGCCCCCTTTGGGGGGAAGGAGAAAAATCCACCCGCGGGGGGGGGTTCGGCAGGTTCCCCAAGACTTACAGCTTCATAAAAGCGAGCTCCCATAAAGCTTTTGCTCCATTTATGAAGGCTGTATCAAACGCCCGGCGAGAGGGTGATGTTGATAAGTCGAAGGCTATGATTGCCGAGATGGTGAAGCTGGTAGGCAACAGTGCTTTTGGTCGATCTGGCATGGATATGAGCAAGCACAAAGAGGTTGAGTATGAGTCGAGTGACAAAGCTATTAAGAACAAGATCGAACACTTTACGTTCCATGGTCTCGAGGAGCTTAATGATGCGTGTGAGATCACGATGAAGAAGCGCCGACTCAATAATAAGAACCCAATCCATTTGTCGATTGCTATCTATCAGCTTGCTAAGCTACGCATGCTTCAGTTTTACTATGACAGCATAAATTTCTACTTCGATCGCTCTGACTTCCAGTATCAGGAGAAGGACACTGATTCGGCTTATATCGCTTTCAGCTGTGATAATCCATTTCAAGACTGTATTAAGCCTGAGCTACGAACCTACTTCAAGGAGCATAAATACGATTTGTTCCCACGTGACTACAACACTGAGGTAGCTAAGTTTGATCGCCGTACGCCTGGTTTGTTCAAAGATGAATGGTCAGGTGATGCTATGGTCTCACTATCGAGTAAGAACTATATTTGCTAACTACCCGATGAGACATACAAAGTAAAGGTTTCAGCGAAGGGTATTCAACAGGGAAGTGGTCGAAACAATGGTGTTCTTAATTCTGATGGGTTTGAGACTGTCGTACGGGATCGCATCATGCTACAAGGGTACAAACAAGGGGTTCAGACTATCGAAAGAAGCCAAGTCTATCATCACCTATACTCAAACCAAAACAGCGCTTAGCTAGTACTATGACAAACGTCGAGTACTTGATGATGGTATCACGACTGAACCACTTGTAATTTAAGCAGCTAGCCACTGGGGATTTTTTTAATGTAAATATAGATCATGGACGCGCTATTAAAGAAACTCTACTATGACCCAAAAACCGGTTTTATAGGAGCTCAAGCTCTGTATCAGAAAGCAAAGGAGTTGAATCCTTAGATAACTTTCAAAATAGTAAAGGATTGGTATGGGAGTCACCCCCGATAGGCGACGATATTATGAGCGAGCGAGGACACTCAATGGTTAAAAGAGTTCTTCGCATGGGTGCAACTCGTGGCAAATAGATCCTGCCTTTTGGGAGTATTGTCCAATTTGGGA